AGGGAAAAGTGTGTTGAAAGTAAATGTTTGTATTTTTATCTCACCGTTTGAATGAAAGATCTGTACAATGTAGAAACATCTCAAAATGTTTAACACACTTTTCTCTTCACTTTAAGATGTTGCTTTGAATGTGATAACTCTTTCTGTTTTAATTTCTAATAAACCTTCAATTTATTATTTACGACATTTCGGTGATAATAGTCACCTTCTTCAGTTTTAAATTTTACACGAAAATGACAGTTCTACATTGAACACACAGTCAACTTTATCTTTTTTATCTGTTCTTTTCATTGGAACAGACGCAGAAACCATGTGAGTTTTCTCTCCAATATTACCGTCTTGTTGTTAGGGAACATTTCAAAATTATTTACTCTCTTACTTTCTAGTTTACTCCTTTCCTTCTTTTCTGTTTTACTTAACAAAAGACTGTTTACAAAGTAGTAAAGAAGGAAAGGAGTAAAAGAATAAAGAAGGAAAAAAGAAAAGGAGTAAAGTAGGAAGAGAGTAAATAATTTTGAAATGCTCCCTAACAACAAGACGGTAATACTGGAGAGAAAACTCACATGGTTTCTGCGTCCGTTCCAATATCAAAGAAAAGAACAGATAAAAAAGATAAAGTTGACTGTGTTTTCTTTGTAGAACTGTCATTTTCGTGTAAAATTTAAAACTGAAGGTGACTGTTGTCACTAAAACGTCATAAATAATAAATTAAAAGTTTATTAGAGAGTAAAACAGGAAGAGTTATCAAATTCAAAGCAATTTAATGTCCTTTCTTAAAATAAACGGTGTAAGACGTTACAGAGCTCTGAATCTGCTTTCATTTGAAAAGTGTGAAAGAAACAAAAAAATGCAGAAAAAACGTTTCGGAAGGCCATTGTGGTAGTAGAATTACTTGGTCAAGGCGTACAGGAACTTCTATTCTAGCGTTTCTCAGTCTAACATGCTATCGTTGAAAATTTTTAAATCTCACATTAACGTCACAACATATATATCATTTAGATTCATTTTGAAAGGAATATTTATTTATTAAAAATGTTCTATTGTATTTTTTTTTAGTTTATTTCATTCGTTGATGAATACATGTTTCTTCTAAAACGTTCATATGTAAGTTGTTATTGTTTTTTTTAAAGCAAATCATGCGGTTGTTGTTTGTTCGCTAATAGCAGCTGTTGATTTATTTCACTCACTTGTTGTTAACGTTGATACCATTTGCAGTAGTTTATACAATAGTTAATCAACATTGAAACTAAAACACAGACAAGAAGGCTATAGTTATTTAGTTCCGCTCAGTTTATACATAGATAGAAGTGGCAAACAAAATTTCAATCTTCTGCTCGCATTGAGCGTAGAAAAATTCGTAGAAAGTCGTAATTATCCAATAAAAAACACATTCAATATATTCTTCATAGCTTTTTTGAGAGATCAAGTTGGATTAAGTTTTCTGTTACTGTTTTCTTAAGCACGTTCGACTTAATGGTATTCAAAATAGATAAATGCAAAACTAAAAAGGTTCTTTTTCGTTAATAGAAACTACGATAAGAGGAAAATTGAAAAGAGTAATCGATTTTTACAGCTTTTGTGATCGAGTGAAAATGAAGTGGGCCGTAAAATCTTTGTGATCATGTTGCAAAGTTCAATGAGTTAAGAAGAGAATGAAAAAATGTAACTTAAGACTTTTTATGCGAAAGAAACTGAAAGCTACTATTTCGAAGAAAAAGCTCTTCAAAGATAAGTTTTCGTGCTCAGAAAGAAAGCTTTTTTTACATAAGAATAATCGGCGTTTCACCTCATATTCAACTATTATAAAAGAACTTTTCGTTTTATTCTGCATTCTTGAAAAATGGAACCGTTTTCTCATTATCATCTATTTCGTAATGGCCTTTTCTAGTTTTTTGCCGCCACCGCCGACAAAAGTAATCATCTAACACCTTTAAATAGGATAAGTTTGTAACACTAAATCTTGCACTATCCGAGCTATGCTTTCATGTATGATATCTAACGTTGGTATAAACTTTGTGAATGTAGAGAAAACAAGATCAAGGTTTCTTCATTGTAAGAGAGGTTGAAATTTGACTCCTCTAAAAAGTTATGAAGAATATGTCTTGTTTAGTGAACAACTAGGACTTTTCTCAAAATTTTCTACATTCTACACTTTTACGGCTCTTGCAACAGTAGACGAAACAAGAAAGAGTAATGTTGCCCGACGCGTCTTAATTTTCCTAACTATCTTTTGTTATTTTCTATTGTAAGATCGATCTTCTCTCAAAGTAAGTAATATTTTAAGTTCTACTCGGCTTATCCAGCTAACTCTACTATCGAAGTGTAATTTCATCACGTTTCTTTTTGCATTTTGTTCCTCTTACGTTTTTCAAACAGCGAGACGCTCAGCACTTTGGGATGTCTTAAATTCAAGAGAAAAGTGTTTTGAAATTTAACTAAAACTCACTGTTTATCATTATCAGCAAAATATTGTAATCGAAGCACTGTGTACAATCATAACTATTTGCGTAAGCAACAGTTTGACATTTAATTGACTTTCATTTTCAATCTAAAATTCACATCGACGTAGCATTAGTATTCTTTGTAAACAAACAAGTTTTGTTGCTTTTGTAAAAAATCTATTTTATTCTTACCATAAAGTATCTAACAGTACTATTATTGAACCAAACAATGATGGGTTTCGTACCACAAGTTTTTTGATATTCACGGTGTTATTATTAACCATTTTAAATCTTCAGCTATACTGGTAGTCAGGGCCGCAAATAGGAGCAAAACATTACGGGGGTGTAAAACAAAATTTTCCGTTGAGGTAGTGTGAAATTGATAAAAAAACTTTTGTGCGAGGAATACTGGATAAATAACAACAGCTTTTTCAGTTATTCTCGGGGCTTGCGCATTCTCCCATACCCTCCCGTTATTTGCGGCCCTGCTGGTAGTCGTTACCACAAATTCATCAATGATCTTAGAAATTGAGAGTGTGTTATCTTGACGAGTCAGCTGTTGGAGATATTTCGATCATGATGGAGAATGATGAATAATCTGGAATATGAATCAGTGACAATGATTGCTACGCATTCATATGGTATTAAACAAAAGTGAATGAAGAATTATACAAAGACTGGCTTTAATTTAAGGAAACAGACGACAGTCTGCTAAATCCACAAGGCAAAGAAAGTCGCACAGTTGATTTACTTCAGTATTTCATAAGCGAATATGATGCATTTGTACTTCACAATTGTGTTCTGCTTCTGTAATTGAATGACGTTTTTTGCCGTAGCTTTTTCATCTTTGACTAAAGAGTTTCTGATGATTTGTGATCTAAAACAAAAACGAAAAGACAGGATTATTTCATTCAGAAATAAGTTTTTTTCATACTATACAGATCACATTTTTACTACAAAAAGCGGTAAACAACAGTCAAAAAACATACCATGTTCATACCTCTCTGCGACTAATTCACGTACACATCTCTCGATTTGACAACAATTTCAATACTGTTTAACTACTTAATTTTTTATATTTAAGCAAAATCACATTTATTTTGAAGGAATTAACATTATACCAACTAATTATAAATACTTTATATGCGATCTAGCAGATACTTATCAAAGCCGAGAGACGATCCGTAACCGCTGCTTTTAATGGCATAGTGGACAACCGGATTTTCATTCTAATCCACGATGAAAAACTAAAATCCACTATGATTTCCACCCTAACTTCATAATCTCCACTATGCTTCGAACTGTTAAACTCAGTTGACACTATCCTAGCAACTACGATGGTGCTACATTTTCCACTGTGACGCTGATTTTGTGAAAGTCTTTCACAAAACACTAGAAAAGGGCTGTCAGGTATTCTGTGGACAAGCCAATCAAAGGAGAAAATAGTAGAGCATAAACGTTAATTACATAACATTTAGCAAATGTGTAGAAATCCACCGCGAAAAGTCAGGCATGCTAAAAGACATGTTTAAGTTGATAGTACTATGTGAGAAAAATTATACGGAATAGAGGACGCCATGTCCTGATATGTCATACCATGAAAGCGAAAATAGTCTTACGCTAGTGAAAATTGCTACAGTCGATTATTCAGAGAAGAAACTGTAGTAAATATATAATGGATCACTAAGCATTTATAGGTAACAGTACTCGCTCTCAGAATTCTAGAAAACTGTCGGGACTTCACCGATTTTTGAGTTGTTTTAATACCAATGTTGTTTGTGATGATAGAGCAGTTGCACTAATTCTACAATCATTTCATAGAACCTTTCAATATATTAACTTAAATCATCTCCAGCTACAAATTTTACATATTAAGATACGTGTGTACATAACTTTTTTTGCGTCACTAGTCTATTCGTTCCTGTCCTAGTCTCATCGTGAACACTTCAAAATTGAATGTATTAATTGAAGTGTTCCATGAAAAATAAAACGCTTGTGAAGTTAGTACCACTGGTTTGATCTGAATTCTTCGGTGTGTGAGACGACAGATGTAAGTAGTTGCGATACATGTAGGCCACTAAGTAAGAATTAGTAGGACATCCAAGGGGGAAAGCACGGAATCCTGAATTCCCCTGGATTCCAAGGATTCCCTAAGATTCCTTAGGATTCTCTAGGATTCTCTAGGATTCTGAAGGATTCCATAGGATTCTCTTCGCTTCCTTACAACTCCTCTAGATTTTGAATAAACTTCTAAAACTGTCAAAGGACACCATCTGTATCTCCCTCAGGTTTCCGTGCTGATATCTCTTTTTCGTTTTTCTTTATTCGATTTGTTTGTAGTTATTGATATATGTATATATTTACTGTCAGCATGTATTGAAAAACAAAATAAACTGAAGTAAATACATTTTGTAGTTATTTATATTCATAAGAATATTGCAAAAAGTCAGAAATTATACTTTACCTGAGGAAAAGCCTATAATTCGAATTTGCTTTTTTATACAACATTCATAAATAAATAACCATCGACGTAAAATATCATTTGCTGTATATGTATTTTCAACACCCATAGGCAGATAGTAAAAATGGACTTGGTAAACTTATATGACTTGATGATACAAAACCAAATTGTACATCATTTGAATTTAAATATTGTTTTAATCTATCAAATTGAAATTCACCTTCATTTATATTGTGATTTGAATTCGATATTAATCTGTTTAATGTCACCATATGAGGAAGTGCACCAGGTAAATTTATTCTTATTAATTCATAGGCTAATTTACCACCTAATATATATAATAATAGTGCAAACCGTTTAACAGACTCATTATATTGATAATTTCTTTTTGATCTTGAAAGATTATTTGTTATATTATCAATAAATGATGATAAAAATGATTGT